GCAATATCCAGGTAGGCAAACAGCATTTTTTGATGACCAGGTATTTATGAATAAAGACACACATCTCTGTTACTTACCTAAATCTATATGTACGAGCTCGGCTGACTGCTCGTTTATCAAGATGTTCTGTACGTGTCTATCCCCAAGTCCAAGTATGTAACCAACTACAAAAAAACACACAAACCAAAGTCACTGGTATCACCTAGTCCTATATGCACCTTTGGTCATAATTTCAACTAATACCACTGACTCTACATAATTCTTAAGTAGCTTAGGCTTTTTGGCCTATTTAAAGAAAATTACGTACATCACTGGCCATTTTAACTCGTATCTTGCCAGCTCTTCTCATTTCTACTGCGTTTTATGAATCTTAGATGATTTGCTAAAAAAGTTTTCCCTTTACTAATAAGCACATATTCAAACTGAGACACCTATGGGTAAATCCTTCATACTTCAGTGAAACTTTCTTCTGCTTAATGAATTAAATTTAACACAAATTAATCATTAATTCATTTAATCAAGTACACATCCAGGAAAAACTACATTTCTATTTTTAAGACAAATGAAACTATGCATTAAAATGCTTTTAACCTAATGAGAGACCTCAAGTGGTGTTAGAGGAAAAAACACTGGCTAGGGAGTCAGGACGCCTGGGGTTCCTGCCTCGCTCTGTCATTAAGGGGACCTAGTTTCTTGTTTATAAACTAAATTAGTCGAATCAGATTAGTGATTCTCAATGTAGAAAAAAAGAGGATTTCATTACGCCCAGAAGTTTTTCAAAACATACGTGTCCTGCCTTCCTGCTGTATAGTACCCAAGTGATGAAAAGAGTGGTCTTTAACTAAAAAACAACAGATTAAAAGATCACTGATACTTCTTTTAGTTCTCATACTCTTAAGATTTTGTTAACTGCCCTAACTATTCCAGTCTCTTACAAATTAAAAAAGTCAAAATATATGTTGTTCACTGAATATTAACATATATTTTTTCTATTCCAAAACCAAAATTCTATTAAATAGAATCAATCATTGAGGGTTAATGTCACAGTTTTATAGAGGTTGTATCCAAAAGAATAATAATAATGAAAAGAAATAACTTAAATGGAGTTATGAGTTTTATTATTTTCCGAGAAAAATCCCAGAAAATAATATAGTAAGTGGAGAGAAAATAAGCCATTTTCTCTATTAAACAAAGAAGAAAAAGAATCATTCTTATTTTCGTACCTGGAAAAACGGAATTCTCTCCTGCCAAGGGTAAGAAGAGCTATATTTAGAAGCAACGACTCAGGACTAACAAAAAAACCCCAATGATCTAATGATGAAGATGGTTTGGTTAACAGCCACCACCACCACCATCCTCCTTCTGCAACTCAGAATGTAGGAAGTGCTTGCATCTACCACAATGTATAAGAAGATTACCAATAGAAGAAGTAGCCACACTCCGCGTATAAGCTAACCGCTTCTCAAACCAAACAGCTGGATCCAAGAACTTTTCCATGCAGAAGTAACGGAAAACTGGTTGAAAATTTTGGCAAATATCCATGAAGGTTTCATACTTGTCTTCAAAAGACTTCTTTTGCACTTCCTTTAACAGACAAGTTATAAAATTATTTTCTCAATGTTTTTTTCAACTAACTTGACTAACGTCTACTAGGAGTTCCAAGAGGAAAATAATACGATAGATGCAAAGGCAATAAAAAGATGAACAAGATATTATTATCTCTACTCACAAGAAGCTAACACAAGAAGCAATTAATAACAAGTTATAATTCCGTTAGGGTTTTCATGTTAATTGTAGGGGAAGGAGGTATACCAACAGTGACTGTTATTTGTCTTAATTCAATTCTAATTTGAATGATTCTGTAACCTATGTGGAAGTAAACATAAAAATGCTAAAGGTATCTCTAGTCTTAGGTGTATCACAGCACTAGTGGTGCGACAGGAAACAGGAAAAGAGGGGAAGATTAGAAGAATCAGTCACAGATGGATTGCAAGGCAGCTGACATGTCTCAGATCTGTGTTCCAACATCTACCTAGTAAATATTAATTTCCTGAAGCAAAGCTTATCTATGTCAGTGGGCTCACTCCTCACCTATGGACTGATGACTTCCAAATCTGCATCTTTGGCCCAGATATCTTTATTAAGCTTCAGCCTGAGGTGCTTCTCCAACTTCCTGCTCAACATCTTCACTTGGATCATTTCCAAATCCAAATTAATTCACCTTCTCATCTTTGGCAAACCTCAGCCACTTCCTCTATTCATCAACACAGTAAATAGCCTCTCCATCTGCTCCATCATCACGACCAGAAAACTGGGCACCCTGATTCTCTTTTTCACCAACCCCACTTGTAATCAGCAACCAAATCCTATCAGTTTTGCCTCTTTAATGTTTCTTATATGAACTGCCTGTTCTACTGTTACTCTTAGTTCAGACCTCATCTTACGCTTTTTGTCAACTTTCTCAAAAACATAACCCTCAAAAACACAAGTGTTGTCAGAGTGATCGTTCTAAAATGCCAATCTGATATTAGTATCCCTCTCAAAGGTTCTCTATTGCCTACAGGATAAAGTGCAAATTTCTCAGCATTTCATGAAGTAACCCTTCGTTTTCTGACTAATGATACTGCTCCAATCTCTTCTATGCCTCCTCAAAAACTAAGCCAATACTATCTTTACCTGCCTCTTCTTGCGTCCTTCCCTTCTGCTTCTATGTTCCTTCTGCCTGGAAAACCCATTCACTTCTAACACTCAGCTCAAACGCCATCTCCTCTATGAAGTCTTTCTTGACTCTGACTCTCTCCACTTCCCCTGCCCTAGACAGAGCTAACCAGTTCCTCCTCGTGCCTGTCTTGCACTCTGTGGAGCCTCCCATCACAGTTCCTATGGTACCTTACCACACATTTTTACAAACATGCAACAGAAAGCACAAGAAAAGAAGTAAATCAGTTTCAGAGTTGGACAGACAAGGTTTAAATCTTCACTCCATCATCCATAAGGTCATTGACCTGGGGCAAGCTAAATGCTCAGAACTTCTTCTCATCTTAAAATGGGATCAGCACGATGCTAATTAATCAACATATCTGCGACATCTCAGCGTAGTACCTGGCAGAGAGGAGCTCAACAAGTGCCACTGGTTGGGTGGATGAGTGTTAGACCGGATGGCCGTGTGATGTGGCAAGTGTCTTAGAAGGCCTCTATTTCATAATCTGTTTTTTTGGTTTTAGTGCTTTGTTTTGTTAAGAATTAGCTTGCATTAAACTGGAAGCAAATTAGCATACACTGAATAATGTCCAATATCTCATCAGACAAGGGTTGACATCATATATAGTTTAAAAATCTTCCTTTTTCAGGACATGAATGATCTTATCTACAAAACAGAAACAGACTCACAAAGACAGCAAACTTATGGTTACCAGGGGTTAAAGGGGGTGGGAGGGTTAAATTGAGAATTTGAAAATTGCACCTCTTGGAGAATGATGGAAACGTTAGCTATCTTGATTGTGGTGGTGATTTCATGGGTGTGTACGTCTATCAAACTTCATCAATTTGTACATCTGAAATATGTGTAGTTTACTGTATAGGAACCATACCATAAGAATGGTGTTTTAAAAAAAAAAGGGGGGGGATATTCCTTTTTCACTAACACCTACTTTCATTCTGATGAGCTTACTTTCTTTCCTTTTTTTTAATTTATCTTTTTAATGAGGTATATAGTCAGTTTACAATGTTGTGTCAATTTCTGGTGTACAGCACAATGCTTCAGTCATACATGAATATACATATATTCATTTTCATATTCTTTTTCACCATAAGCTCCTATAAGATATTGATGATATTTCCCTGTGCTATACAGTATAAACTTGTTTATCTATTTTATAGATACCTGTCAGTATCTGCAAATCTCAAATTCCCAGTTTATCCCTTCCCGCCTTGCTGCCCTCCAGCAATGAAAAGTCTGTATTCTATGTCTGTGAGTATGTTTCTGTTTTATATATAAGTTCATTTGTCTTATTTTTTAGATTCCACATATGAGTGATATCATATGGTATTTTCCTTTCTTTTTCTGTCTTCACTTAGAATGACATTCTCCAGGGCCATTCATATTGTTGCAAATGGTATTATATTATCATTTTTATGGCTGAGTAGTATTCCAGTGTATAAATATACCCCAATTTTCTTATACTTACCATCATTAACAATTACCTGATGAAATTAAAACTTTGAATTCTATAATATTTGATAACTATCAGTCTTAATAAGCTATTAAAAACCTGGCAATAAGTTATATTTTTGAGTATCACTCACCATCATTTTCTTTTGGCATTGAAGGGCACTGAAATCCTTTGGCCTGTATCTTTTATGTGCACCATTCTCATTGTTAACAAGAAATTCACCAATAGGGACAGTTCCTGTGCACCATTCAAGGACACCACTTCGCTGAGAAAGGGGAACCACCTAAAGTTACAAATTAAATACCTTTTGATTATGGAAAGGCATTAAAAGAGCATATGATGATTATTCAATTATCAGAGTCAATGTGTAGCATTTTCTCAAGTTGTGTTACTATTTTTCTGTCTGTAGGGAAAAAGCAACCGAAAATAAACTTAAGCTCAAAGAATAAGATTTTTCAAGTCTGCTGCTTAAACTTCTGAGAACCTGTTCTTCCCTCAATTTCCTTGATTCCCTGAGAGGTCAATCTTTTTAATTATACTCATCCATCTGTCACTGAGCTATACTTAGTTTGTTCCATTTAGCAGAGGAATTAGCTTTACTTTCCTTGTACTTTTAATAGCAAATAAATTCAAAGAATTTCACTTTGGAAAATATCAAATGTCATCTCAATTAGTATACTTCAATAACTGAAAGTGCATTTATTCTTGTTTTATAGTTTTGTTAGCTTCATCAAGAAGAAATGTATTCCTAAACATAAAATGAGCAATTTTACTGGGAAGATTAAAAATTATGACATATTATAAATACACACAAAGTATAGAATATAATTAAACAAATACCCTTTTGCTTACTGAACAGCTTTATCAAATCTTAAAACTTTTTTCATATTTGCTAGGAAAGAGATGAAGCTCCCTGTATACCCCTCACTGACCCCACGCCCCTCCCAACCATCAAGATGACTGCTGGGGGAGGGTATAACTCAGTGGTAGAGTGTGTGCTTAGCATGCGCGGGGTCCTGGGTTCGATCCCCAGTACCGGTAAAACAAAAGCAAAAACAAAAACAAAAAATGGTTAAGATGACTGCTAATTTGCTTATCATGTTCATGTATTTTGGGATATACTTTCATTCCAAAGCTATCCATACATAAGTAGTTACAAGCTTTAAATAAAGAGTATTTATTCTATTCAGTACATTTCCATAATTTGCTTTTTTCTCACTTAACACTGTTTTACCTTTAACTGTGTTAGACTATTTAACCCTAAGTCATTCATTTTAATAACTATACACTGTATAAATATACCACAATGGTCCAATCCTAATGTTGATTAATGTTTACCTTTTTTCCAGACTTCCCTGAAACACTGCTGCAATGCATTAGTCTACTAGCGCATATATTTCAGTTTCTCTAGGGCGTATGTGTACCCGGGAACTGAAGAGCTGGGTCATTTGGGATGTGCACCTTTAACTGACTTAACCAGATATTGCCAAATCAGTATCCAAAGTTGTTTTACCAATTAATATACCCATCAGTAGTTTATTCCATAACCTTCCCAACACGTGGTAGGGTGGGACTTCGACACTTTGTCAATCCAGGAGGTATACAACAGTATCTCACTCTGGTTTTCATTTGTATTTTCCAGATTCCCAGTAAAGCTCAGTATAATTTGAGAGGCTTATTGGCCGTTCAAATGTTTTCTTCTCGTGAACAGCCTGTTTATATTCTTTACCCTTTTCCTTGCTGGCTTGTCTTTTCAGTGCTGATATGCAAGAGCTATTTATATATTCTGTATATAAATCCCTTATTTTTAATATTATTAT